TACCTGTGTAACCTCACACATCATGTTTTGTGTACGAGTTCACTGATATAATACACGTTCCTAACGCATTATACCCGAGACCTGTACATGTGTTACCTCACACATCATGTTTTGTGTACGAGTTTACTGATATACTACGCGTACCTAACGCATTATACCCGAGAGCTGTGTTACCTCACATATCATGTTTTGTCTACGAATTCACTGATATAATACACGTACCTAACGCATTATGCCCGATACCTGTGTAACCTCACACATCATGTTTTCTGTACGAGTTCACTGATATAATACACGTACCTAACCCATTATACCCGAGACCTGTGTTACCTCACATATCATGTTTTGTGTACGAGTTCACTTATATACTACACGTACCTAACGCATTATACCCGTGACCTGTGTTACCTCACACATCATGTTTTGTGTACGAGCTCACTGATATACTACACGTACCTAACGCACTATACCCGAGACCTGTGTTACCTCACGCATCATGTTTTGTGTACGAGTTCACTTATATACTACACGTACCTAACGCATTAGACCCGAGACCTGTGTTACCTCACACATCATGTTTTGTGTACGAGTTCAATGATATACTACACGTACCTAACGCACTATACCCGAGACCTGTGTTACCTCACACATTATGTTTTGTGTACAAGTTTACTGATATAATACACGTACCTAACGCTTTATACCCGAGACCTGTGTTACCTCACATATGATGGTTTGTTGACGAGTTCACTGATATACTACACGTCCCTAACGCATTATACCCGATACCTGTGTCACCTCACACATCATGTTTTGTGTACGAGTGCACTGATATAATACACGTACCTAACGCATTATACCCGAGACCTGTGTTATCTCACACATTTTATTAGTGTTACAGTATTTGTGTCAAGGATTCTGTTTAATGGTCCATAGTGTTACCCTATAGAGCTTATATATACCTAAAGTTTCAATTTTACCTAACACGAGTGAATTATTTTAAACGTATGATTGATTTGTGATTAACTGTAAATGTGAGTTTATTCAGGCCTAGCCTAAGGTCAAATCCCTTCGGCAGGCATTCTGTCTAAACAAATATGTTGGAATTGAAATGGCACTGATATGTTTTCACGTAAGTTTTTACACGAATACGTTATTAGGCAAATGTAGTACCGTTCTGGTTACTGGCGATAGGAATACAACTCGGCGATTCGTAAAATTTGTACTTAAATTTTCTCAAATTTGTTTCTTTATCTGTATCGATATGTCCTGATTTGTGTGTGTGTGTTAAAAACAAGTTTTGTCTATGTACAGTATGGCATACCTACATCAGACAACTAACACTAACGGGTGTATTTACATTACATTGGTTTTCGTTGGTTTCTTCCACTCGGAAAATTGAAATTGAAAAAACAAAATTAACCTGCTACCCATTGCAACACTTGGGATCTGCCTTTACTCTCTCTTACCAACCTTTCCCTGTCGATGATGTCTCCATATAGACACCTGTTTTCATGTGAGCTTGGCTGTTGTGAGGACCTAAAACCTCAAACAAACAAAGCTGCCATGATAGCGGAGGCAATACATGTGGAAGAAAACCGCCGACATACCTGGGGAAATCTGGTTTTGTCTCTTGTTCTTTTGAGGTGACCATAGAAATTAACTTTCCTTTTGTTTTGGTATGTTATTTGTTACTTTTGTCCTTGTGGGTGTATCTGAGTTATGTTATTTTAACTATTGCAGTATGCGGATCGTCCCAGACCGCCAGCGTCAACTTCTGTTTCGGCCTGGCTATCGGATTGGTCATTGCCTTCGTAGTAGCCAGTCTGACGTCACTGCAGACGCCGATGTTGATGGCAAAATACACTGGCGGTATAGACAAGTTCCGGTATACTGTTTCCGGCGGAAGTGACTCCAACAAATCGTCCCCTACCAACGTCGTAGACGGGCATGAAAAAATACACCAGGAAGAGGAGAAATTTCACGAGCAGATGGATAAAAACATCGGCAAAGTGAAACAAGTCAACTTCGACGATTCTCACTTTCATAAAGGTATTTTGGTGTGATCGATCGAAATATGTGTAAACACATATCTGATTAAAAAGCGGAGCTAATCCTATCTAAGGGACGTGAGATTTGTTAAAAATGGCAGCCCCTCTATGATAATTTAAACCATCATGGAGGAAACATTCTAAATGTAACCAATTCCCAGATCCAATTGATAGCAATAGTCATCTCGTGGAAACCTTTGGAGAAATGTTATTATATATGTATTTGCCTGCTTACAGCTTAAGAAGTTTAACGCAAAACACACATAACGTCACATAACATTGTACCTACGTAATGTTGGTATATATTAAGATGTACTTTAGAAATGTTACAAGCAGAACCTGTTGTATTTAGATTATAAAGCCCCAATCATGTGTGGTGCAGTTAAAGCACTTCCACATATCCGTTTTACAAATCTCATTTTTTCTGTCATCAAACTGACCATCATTAACTGTATGCCTGTGTAAATGACATGTTTAAGGACGTATGCCAAAGGTTTGGGATAGAATAAATTTTGTGTGTTACCAGCGAATTTCTCCAAAATATGACACACTTGTATGTAATCTAGAACATAGTGGTATATTTACAGGCACCTATCGTATCAGATTTTATCACTATTATGGAATTTAAAGTGAAATATTAAAATTATTTTTTTCTGCATACTTAGTATCGGGTTTTCGCATTTCAGATAACGACAAAGTGGCGAAGGACCTAGAAAAGAAAATCCGAATATTATGTTGGGTGATGACAAGCCCTCAGAACTTGGATAAAAAGGCCATTCACGTGAAACGCACGTGGGCCAAGCGATGTAACGTTTTAGTGTTTATCAGCTCCACAACAAACACAAGCTTCCCTACCGTCGGGCTCGACGTATCAGAAGGTCGTGAACATCTCACGGCTAAAACAATGAAAGCTTTTAAGTACGTTTACGAAAAGCATTTCAATGACGCTGACTGGTTTGTTAAAGCAGACGACGACACTTATATGATTTTAGAAAACCTTCGTTATTTCCTACAGTCATACTCACGTGATGACCCAGTTTATTTTGGACACCATTTTAAGACCATAGTGAAACAGGGGTACTATAGCGGAGGAGCGGGGTATGTCCTGAGTAAAGAGGCGCTCCGACGCCTGATTGAAAAGGGTCAAGACCCAAAAGTGTGTCGTCAAGATGGCGGCGCGGAGGATGCCGAGTTAGGAAAGTGTATGGAGAATCTCGGTGTCAAAACTGCTAACTCTACAGATGCTTTAGGGAGGAGTAGATTCCACTGCTTCGACCCGGAAACACATTTATTCGGAGGATATCCAGATTGGTACTATAAATATGACGCTAATGGTGCTAAGAAGGTAAGTGGTTGACCGACCGATTTGTCTTTTGAACATAATAAAGTAGCTATATATGGGGACAGAGAAATACAATCACAGTTGGAAAATTATCTTAATTGACGTGATATAATATGAATTATATGACTATATTATATGAACCGTCACTATGGAATGTCTCTCAGGTTCATTGGTGGATTCTGTTTGTGCTATACATACACGTAGTACAAATAGTGTCTCGGTACTTTAACATGATTCAATCAATATTCTTGCTAACATTGAATTGTAGAAAATTGTTTTCTGCGAATTGGGGCTGACCAAAATTAAACTGATATGTTATTAATGAAGATTTTTTATTTCAATTAAGCGTTAAGGTAAGTGCTGGTACACCAGTCTATATGTATAAATACTAAACAAGAACACCCTTTAAACATCATGGGGCGGTATCATCGGATACGACTTGCTGATGACAGGATAATTGGTTCCAGCAGGAAAGATTTAAAATACTACATAGCACTTCCCAAAGGACAATATTTCTTTCATGTTTATTAATCTATTTGGATAGTATTGCGTTTGTACATGTAATATACGATTGTCAAAAACGTTTGCAATTCACAATTTCAGGGGGAAATTAATTTGGTAGATGCGACTTTTCGAAACGTTACTGCTTATCCGACGTTATTTGGTTTTCAGGGTATTTTCCAAAGTGTGAAAGAAATACCCATTAAGCTTAATATTTTTTATCTTATTTTACTGAGGTTGAACATGGTGGTAAATTGTCTTAAGAGTTGTTATCTACAAAAAAAGCATGCAGTCAAATCGTACTTTGAACGAGATTAATTATATGTATGAACAATCGATTATTTTCATATACAGTAACCTCCCCCTAACTTCTGTTGGAACTATAGAACAATAGGTTCAGGACACTTCCGTCCACCTTGTCAATTGGTCCAGTAATCTGAAGTTCGGGGTTCCAATTCGTGTCTAGCCCCGCGGGGATTTGCTTTGCACTCTAAACACTGTTGTTGGTTATATTTTGTGTATTTCATCATTTTATCTATCATACACTTCCCGCAAGGCGTGTTTTTTTCTCAAAAGTGATTGAGCGATGCATGCCACAGTCATGCCGGATAAACAGTTTCCAATTTTTACATTTTGTGGCGTTAGTACAGTCGGAATGTCTTCTGTCTTCATGTGGTCATTTAAAAAATGAAGTATTTTGTATTAAGATATAATCATAAGTGACATATTTTGGACTTTACGGTTCGGAAAACATAGGAATAAACTATAGTCGAGTATAAGTAGCACCGTGCGACATGGCAAACGTGACCCTAGCCTTAAATATTTATAAATGACATGTAATTATTATATCTGATATCTTACCGGTGTTATCTGCTGTGTTACAGGGAACAGAGAGTATCAGTGATTACGCGATCTCATTCCACTACGTGCCTCCCCAGAAGATGTACGCACTGGAGTTTTATATATATCACTTACGTCCATACGGGGTAGATTCCGGACACCAGCATCTCAACGTACCCGGACACTAGTCACAGCTCATACCGTATTTATATCATATCACGTGACATTCCAGCAGTCGGATACAAACTGCCTCAAATGTACCAATCTGTAATGAGAAGTGTCCAGTGTATGGCTATCACGTTGCCGTCTTATCCAGGTGTAATGGCCAGACATCCAAAGGACATGCATTTGGTGATTTTGTTTGTCGTGTGTTGAGTGAGGAAACGTCGTGTGTGTGTGTTAGTGAAGTGAGTTTGTGCCTTGGTCATTGTTTTAGTGTAAGGTACGTCTATTGTATGCTGTGTGTATTTGTGCTTTGACATTGTTTTAGTGTAAGGTACGTCTATTCTATGCTGTGTGTATTTGTGCTTTGCCATTGTTTTAATGTAAGGTAATTATAAGTCTATTATATGCTGTGTGTATTTGTGCGTAAGAGGAACATAGTGCAAATAATGATTTTGAGAATGATAAGCAAAACTATGCATGCTTTAATATGAGTTACCTGTATTTAATGTTGATATATAACTTAAGCTAACAATTTGCCCACAAATTGTCCTAGTGTAAGCTGTATATATGTAAAGTTGAAGTGCCTTCTCAATGGCTGGTTAGTATAGCTCTTACCAAGCCATGAACGATGTACAAACTATTCTTGGGGTTGTCTTATACATGTAGTATTGTATGGCCTCATTCAACAGTAAATGATGATCTGGAACGTATGTACTCTTGATATGTATGTGTCCTAATGTACTTTACTACATCGATTTTTAATTAACAATTGTGTCTTCTCCGATAAACGAAAACGGTTTTTGAGAAAAACTTGTGACATACAAAGCAATGTCAAGTCTGTCTTTTTGTTACTGTTGTTGGATGTTTGGTCGTAATTAAACTTCAGAAATCGTTTTTATCGTACTTGTGTAGTCTTGTGAGAACATTCCCTTAGAAGATATTTTTTCCTTTTGATTGCCTTTGTTGACGTTACCATGCTAATGTCAACGTTTGTGTTGACGGTCTCTGTTGACGCTACCATGCTAATGTCAAAGTTTGTGTTGACGGTCTCTGTTGACGTTACCATGCTAATGTCAACGTTTGTGTTGGCGGTCTCTGTTGACGCTACCATGCTAATGTCAAGGTTTGTGTTGACGGTCTCTGTTGACGTTACCATGCTAATGTCAACGTTTGTGTTGACGGTCTCTGTTGACGTTACCATGCCAATGTCAACATTTGTGTTGACGACCTCTGTTGACGTTACCATGCTAATGTCAACGTTTGTTTAGACGGCCTCTGTTGACGTTACCATGCTTATGTCAACGTTTGTTTAGACGACCTCTGTTGACGTTACCATGCTAATGTCAACGTTTGTGTTGACGGTCTCTGTTGACGTTGCCATGCCAATGTCAACGTTTGTGTTGACGGTCTCTGTTGACGTCACCATCCTAATGTCAACGTTTGTTTAGAAGACCTCTGTTGACGTTACCATGCTAATGTCAACGTTTGTTTAGACGGTCTCTGTTGACGTTACCTTGCAAATGTCAACGTTTGTTAAATGTCAACGTTTGTTAAGTGTCAACGTTTGTTAAATGTCAACGTCTGTTTAAGGAATGAGGTGATGTGATGTCCATTATAACTAATGCAGTCAGTTATGTTATATATGCATCTTAATGTTTACCTGACCAATATGACAACATTTGAAGTGAATGAAATAATTGTAAAGTTGTGAAAATGAGAAAACATTATGCCATGAAATATTGATTAAAAAATGTAATTGATAAACCTATATGCTATCAGTTATGTTTTATATATGCACCCAGTGTTTACCTGACGAGTATGACAACATTTGAAAGTGTATGAAAGAGTTGCATAATTGTGAAATAAATACAAACGATGCTAAGAAATGTTGGTTTAAAATGTAATTGTTAAATTATTTTAACCCTCTCTCAGATAATGTCACTGATATCTAAAAACTATTTGGGGAAACAAATAGAATTGTTTTGCGCATTGCCTCGAGAAATCAGGAGAATTTAATCAATTTTCCCGTTATCATTGTAATTTGAATTTCTACTTTTTTTAATCTTTGCAGACCCGTTTTGCTTAACATTAAATACTGATCGTAGTCCTTAATTTCTATGACCTTTTAATGTTGATAAGCAATTTATTTAAGACATTTATTTGTCATCAAAATTGTTTTTGGCTCCTTAAAAAGGAATTGGAAATAGTAATAGTTTTATCGTAACTAAGAAAGTTACGATAAAATTAAGTATCGGGAATTTCGATTTTCCCAGAACACATTTTAAGATGTTATGTTTTTAACGGTGACTTTGACTTTAAACATATTTTATTGTCCAAATATTGGCACAAAAGGATCAGGCACAAGTTATTTCAACTTATGAAGCCGTCTCCTATTAACATAACAAATTTACAGACAAATGACGGTGTGCATTCGAAAAAGTAGGATATTTTTAATCATGAAACCAGTTTGACATATTTCGGTACTTTTTTCCTCCAGAAAATTCCCTTTTCCTCTTAGGACAAAGGACTACAAAAACTGGTCATTTTATCATTCAATGTATCGTTTGTCAAAGTATTTTAAATTGTACTACATATGTAAAAGGTTTTTGATCTCAATTTGTCAGACTTAAATGAAAGTAATTTCACATGTTATTTTCCATTGATGGATGGCTTCATTTCTCTCTTTTTTCTTGTCAAAATACCAAGCGAAAAAAAAGATTATATTTGAAATTTTTTTTTCCCTTTCTAAAAAAATATTGTGATTAAGTTAAAAGATTTCACATATAAATTACATGACTATAAAAAGCAAATCACACGATTAAGCATAGATGTGTAAACCACAAGTTGCGTGATAAGAATCACAATATTAAGAAAGTAATATATATCTCATTTAACTGTTTATTACTTTATTCATATTCATTTTCTTTGAGAACATGTAACATTTTATGTAACAAATACTAGTTCTGTTACAAGATTGGGAAATATATACATATCAAATATCGAATGGGAACTCAATTTAATGTGTCTGATAGGAATGAAATTATCCTCAGACTGGTGTTTATTTATTGCGAGAGAGATATATTACATACATTTAGCAGACGTACTGTAAAGTTTTTAAATTATAAAATGAACTTTGCATACATTATCTAGTTTATATGTCTCAGAATGAACAGGATTTTTATGTACACCGATATATATCATAGATGTATGCTCGGTGATTCAATGGTTAAAACCTGTTCGACATGTACAGACTTAATGTACCGTAATTATATAAGTAACTCAGTCGTGCAGTACATACATAGGTACATGCAATCGTGAAACGTCACATTGACGATAAATTGTCACTAACAAATGGCGCTACTTTTGCTTAACATGACCGACGTTAATGATTCATTTCAAAATTCGAAAATATATTTTGAGAAACAACATTTTTGTTGTACATTATTTATTAAGAGATGGAATATTAGAATAAACATGTTATTTTGAAACCTATCTACTTGTTTTATCTCATTTGTTTTAGATTTATTAAACCTATGATATTAAGGATTACATTGATTATGTTTACTGTTAATATACACAAGGTATGCAGTGTCACAATAACTATCATATATCATATACCTTAGTTACACTTCATACATAACATAACTAGCATATATCATATATCTTAGTTACACTTCAAACATAACATAACTAGCATATAACATATACCTTAGTTACACTTCATACATAACATAACTAGCATATATCATATTCATTAGTTACACTTCATACATAACATAACTATCATATATCATATTCCTTAGTTACACTTCATACATAACATAACTAGCATATATCATATATCTTAGTTACACTTCATACATAACATAAATAGCATATATCATATACCTTAGTTACATTTCATACATAACATAACTAATATATATAATATACCTTATTTACGCTTCATACATAACATAACTAGCATATATCCTATACCTTAGTTACACTTCATACATAACATAACTAATATATATCATATACCTTTGTTATACTTCATACATAACATAACTAATATATATCATATACCTTAGTTATACTTCATGCATAACATAACTAGCATATATCACATACCTTAGTTACATCATACATAACATAAATAGCATATATCATATACCTTAGTTACACTTCATACATAACATAACTAGCATATATCATATACCTTAGTTACACTTCATACATAACATAACTAGCATATATCATATACCTTAGTTACACTTCATACATAACATAACTAGCATATATCATATACCTTAGTTACACTTCATACATAACATAACTAGCATATATCATATACCTTAGTTACACTTCATACATAACATAACTAGCATATATCATATACCTTAGTTACACTTCATACATAACATAACTAGCATATATCATATACCTTAGTTATACTTCATACATAACATAACTAGCATATATCATATACCTTAGTTACACTTCATACATAACATAACTAGCATATATCATATACCTTAGTTACACTTCATACATAACATAACTAGCATATATCATATACCTTAGTTACACTTCATACATAACATAACTAGCATATATCATATACCTTAGTTACACTTCATACATAACATAACTAGCATATATCATATACCTTAGTTACACTTCATACATAACATAACTAGCATATATCATATACCTTAGTTACACTTCATACATAACATAACTAGCATATATCATATACCTTAGTTACACTTCATACATAACATAACTAGCATATATCATATACCTTAGTTACACTTCATACATAACATAACTAGCATATATCATATACCTTAGTTACACTTCATACATAACATAACTAGCATATATCATATACCTTAGTTACACTTCATACATAACATAACTAGCATATATCATATACCTTAGTTACACTTCATACATAACATAACTAGCATATATCATATACCTTAGTTACACTTCATACATAACATAACTAGCATATATCATATACCTTAGTTACACTTCATACATAACATAACTAGCATATATCATATACCTTAGTTATACTTCATACATAACATAACTAGCATATATCATATACCTTAGTTACACTTCATACATAACATAACTAGCATATATCATATACCTTAGTTATACTTCATACATAACATAACTAGCATATATCATATACCTTAGTTACACTTCATACATAACATAACTAGCATATATCATATACCTTAGTTACACTTCATACATAACATAACTAGCATATATCATATACCTTAGTTACACTTCATACATAACATAACTAGCATATATCATATACCTTAGTTACACTTCATACATAACATAACTAGCATATATCATATACCTTAGTTACACTTCATACATAACATAACTAGCATATATCATATACCTTAGTTACACTTCATACATAACATAACTAGCATATATCATATACCTTAGTTACACTTCATACATAACATAACTAGCATATATCATATACCTTAGTTACACTTCATACATAACATAACTAGCATATATCATATACCTTAGTTACACTTCATACATAACATAACTAGCATATATCATATACCTTAGTTACACTTCATACATAACATAACTAGCATATATCATATACCTTAGTTACACTTCATACATAACATAACTAGCATATATCATATACCTTAGTTACACTTCATACATAACATAACTAGCATATATCATATACCTTAGTTACACTTCATACATAACATAACTAGCATATATCATATACCTTAGTTACACTTCATACATAACATAACTAGCATATATCATATACCTTAGTTACACTTCATACATAACATAACTAGCATATATCATATACCTTAGTTACACTTCATACATAACATAACTAGCATATATCATATACCTTAGTTACACTTCATACATAACATAACTAGCATATATCATATACCTTAGTTACACTTCATACATAACATAACTAGCATATATCATATACCTTAGTTACACTTCATACATAACATAACTAGCATATATCATATACCTTAGTTACACTTCATACATAACATAACTAGCATATATCATATACCTTAGTTACACTTCATACATAACATAACTAGCATATATCATATACCTTAGTTACACTTCATACATAACATAACTAGCATATATCATATACCTTAGTTACACTTCATACATAACATAACTAGCATATATCATATACCTTAGTTACACTTCATACATAACATAACTAGCATATATCATATACCTTAGTTACACTTCATACATAACATAACTAGCATATATCATATACCTTAGTTACACTTCATACATAACATAACTAGCATATATCATATACCTTAGTTACACTTCATACATAACATAACTAGCATATATCATATACCTTAGTTACACTTCATACATAACATAACTAGCATATATCATATACCTTAGTTACACTTCATACATAACATAACTAGCATATATCATATACCTTAGTTACACTTCATACATAACATAACTAGCATATATCATATACCTTAGTTACACTTCATACATAACATAACTAGCATATATCATATACCTTAGTTACACTTCATACATAACATAACTAGCATATATCATATACCTTAGTTACACTTCATACATAACATAGCTAGCATATATCATATACCTTAGTTACACTTCATATATAACATGACTAGCATATATCCTATACGTTAGTTACGCTTCATACGTAACATAACTAGCATATATCATATACCTGAGTTACACTTCATACATATCATAGCTAGCATATATCATATACCTTAGTTATACTTCATACATAACATAACTAGCATATTAGTTACACTTCATACATAACATAACTAGCATATATCATATACCTTAGTTACACTATTCATAACATAACTAGCATATATCATATACCTCAGTTACACTTCATACATTACATAACTATCATATATCATATTCCTTAGTTACACTTCATACATAACATTACTATCATATATCATATACCTTAGTTACACTTCATACATAACATAACTAGCATATATCATATACCTTAGTTACACTTCATACATAACATAACTAGCATATATCATATACCTTAGTTACACTTCATACATAACATAACTAGCATATATCATATACCTTAGTTACACTTCATACATAACATAACTAGCATATATCATATACCTTAGTTACACTTCATACATAACATAACTAGCATATATCATATACCTTAGTTACACTTCATACATAACATAACTAGCATATATCATATACCTTAGTTACACTTCATACATAACATAACTAGCATATATCATATACCTTAGTTACACTTCATACATAACATAACTAGCATATATCATATACCTTAGTTACACTTCATACATAACATAACTAGCATATATCATATACCTTAGTTACACTTCATACATAACATAACTAGCATATATCATATACCTTAGTTACACTTCATACATAACATAACTAGCATATATCATATACCTTAGTTACACTTCATACATAACATAACTAGCATATATCATATACCTTAGTTACACTTCATACATAACATAACTAGCATATATCATATACCTTAGTTACACTTCATACATAACATAACTAGCATATATCATATACCTTAGTTACACTTCATACATAACATAACTAGCATATATCATATACCTTAGTTACACTTCATACATAACATAACTAGCATATATCATATACCTTAGTTACACTTCATACATAACATAACTAGCATATATCATATACCTTAGTTACACTTCATACATAACATAACTAGCATATATCATATACCTTAGTTACACTTCATACATAACATAACTAGCATATATCATATACCTTAGTTACACTTCATACATAACATAACTAGCATATATCATATACCTTAGTTACACTTCATACATAACATAACTAGCATATATCATATACCTTAGTTACACTTCATACATAACATAACTAGCATATATCATATACCTTAGTTACACTTCATACATAACATAACTAGCATATATCATATACCTTAGTTACACTTCATACATAACATAACTAGCATATATCATATACCTTAGTTACACTTCATACATAACATAACTAGCATATATCATATACCTTAGTTACACTTCATACATAACATAACTAGCATATATCATATACCTTAGTTACACTTCATACATAACATAACTAGCATATATCATATACCTTAGTTACACTTCATACATAACATAACTAGCATATATCATATACCTTAGTTACACTTCATACATAACATAACTAGCATATATCATATACCTTAGTTACACTTCATACATAACATAACTAGCATATATCATATACCTTAGTTACACTTCATACATAACATAACTAGCATATATCATATACCTTAGTTACACTTCATACATAACATAACTAGCATATATCATATACCTTAGTTACACTTCATACATAACATAACTAGCATATATCATATACCTTAGTTACACTTCATACATAACATAACTATCATATATCACATACCTTAATTACACTTCATACATAACATAACTAGCATATATCCTTTACCTTAGTTACACTTCATAAATAACATAACTAGCATATATCCTATACCTTAGGTACACTTCATACATAACATAACTATCATATATCACATACCTTAGTTACACTTCATACATAACATAACTAGCATCTATCATATACCTTAGTTACACTTCATAAATAACATAACCAGCATATATCCTATCCCTAAGTTACACTTCATACATAACATAACTAGCATATATCCTATACCTTAGTTACACTTCATACATAACATAACTAGCATATATCACATACCTTAGTTACACTTCATACATAACATAACTATCATATCATATACCTTAGTGACACTTCATACATAACATAAATAACATACATCATATATCTTAGTTACACTTCCTACATAGCATAACTAGCATATATCCTATACCTTAGTTAAACTTCATACAGAACATAAGTAACATATATTATATACTTTAGTTACACTTCATACATAACATAACTAGCATATACCTTAGTTACACTTCATACATGACATAAATAGCATATATCATATACCTTAGTTACACTTCATACATAACATAAATATCATATATCACATACCTTAGTTACACTTCATACATAACATAACTAGCATATATCATATACCTTAGTTACACTTCATAAATAACATAGCTAGCATATATCATATTCCTTAGTTACACTTCATAAATAACATAGCTAGCACATATCATATTCCTTAGTTACACTTCATACATAACATAACTAGCATCTATCATATACCTTAGTTACACTTCATAAATAACATAGCTAGCACATATCATATTCCTTAGTTACACTTCATACATAACATAACTAGCATATATCATATACCTTACTAACACATTATACATAACATAACTAGCATATATCATGTGTCTTAGTTACACTTCATACATAACATAACTAGCATATATCCTATACCTTACTTACACTTCATACATAACATAACTAGCATATATCATATGCCTTACTTACACTTCATACTTAACATAACAAGCATATTCCTTAGTTTCACTTCATACATAACATAACTAGCATATATCCTATACCTTTGTTACACTTCATACAGAACATAACTATCATATACCTTAGTTACACTTCATACATGACATACCTAGCATATATCCTATACTTTAGTTACACTTCATGCGTAACATAACTAGCATAAATCACATACCTTAGTTACTCTTCATACATAACATCACTAGCATATATCCTATACCTTACTTACACGTCATACATAACATAACTATCTTATATCATATACCTTACTAACACATTATACATAACATAACTAGCAGATATCACATACCTTAGTTACTCTTCATACATAACATACACCATAACATAACTAGCATACATCACATACCTTGGTTAGACTTCATACATAACATACACCATAACATAACTAGCAGATATCACATACCTTAGTTACACTTCATGCATAACATAACTAGCATATATCACATACCTTGGTTACACTTCATACATAACATAACTATCATATATCATATACCTTAGGTACACTTCATACATAACATAACTAGCATCTATCCTATACCTTAGTTACTCTTCATACATAACATAACTAGCATATATCATATACCTTAGTTACACTTCATACATAACATAACTAGCATATATCACATACCTTAGTTACACTTCATACATAACATAAGTAGCATATATCATATACCTTAGTTACACTTCATACATCACATAACTAGCATATAGCATATACCTTAGTTACACTTCATACATAACATAACTAGCATATATCACATACCTTAGTTACACTTCATACATAACAGAAATAGCATATATTTTCAATTTAATTATTGAATAATAGTCAATGATATTTCATGAACTTCATAGAAAGTCAGCAATCGTAGTTGAATGATACTTATATATTGGTTTACTTACTATCATGATTTATTGCAAAATTAAAACTGCTAACAAAGCTAACGTTGAAACGATACAATGGCTTTTGTTCTTGTTACAAATGAGCTCCTTCTCAGCTGTTTTTGCTTTTAATAAGTAACAGCATTAGTTACCTCGTTTTTAAAAACTTCAAAATAATATAAAAGAATTGTTTTCAATGCGGTTTTGAATGATAATATTGAATGCAGGTTCATTAAAGTTTTAGCGAAAAACTTATCGCGTTTAAACAAGCTCCTTTATCAATTTTTCTTTTCAATTTGAAAGTAACTATCAATTCTAAAGCAGCCACACTGTAAGAGTTAACAGTGATAAACATGGACATTCATATTTTTAAATAAATTATCCTACGACATTACGACATTTCTAGAACCAAAATTACAAAGCCAATAATGATATTAATATTATACAATATTTGATATAGCGCCCTATCTAGCTAACATTACACACTCTAAAGAGCTTTACAGTACACATATATACAATTAGTACAATAAGCATATACATTAATCTATACAGTTGTAAGAAATTCGCAAGAGCTGCCTTATCAGGCACTAACTACTAGTCATATGCCACCTGGCTAATATCTCCCTATTTGTGTATACCTGCGTGTTTGCTGGAGATGTGATGTGATATAAATCAGTATCTAGTAAGAGGGAGGGACAGCCATGCTTTCAGCTTCTACTTTGATGATGTTGATGACATGTTTAAGGAGCCCTGTCCCACTGCACTCTGGTTTTTCGTATACACAGTAAGCTCCCTTTGATTTCGTTTTGGTAATACCTATAGCACAATTGGATCAGGACACTTCCGTTGACAAGGCATCTCCGTCGGTTAATATAAAATGAGGTCTAGGGTTCGAGTCGTGGTCTGGCCACACATTTAGTTTTACACTCAGAACACTGATGTTGATTTTGTGTGTTGATTCATCTCTTTCATGTTTTCATAAAAATCCCGTAAGGTAGGATTTTCTTCTCAGGAATGATTTATCAAAGCTACAGTCATATCGGAAAAGACGGTTTCCAATACTTAGTTACGTATTTTTTTCGGTGGTTCAGGGAAAGTTGATGACCTACAAAAGATCTTGCCATAACCATAACTTTGCATTACTAAACAGCTACACAACAAGTCAAACTAACGCTGGTACAATATAACAAAAAATAGAAAACAGAAAACAATTCACTTTAGGTCAATGACCCTTTTCAACCAATACCGTCTTGGATGATACATTACACAGGTATGGGGATGCTTCCATCTAACAGTGATTACTTATTTATCGGTTAGACGGTATATGATCATGCGTATAGTCAGTGATTTCCACACTGTTTTATCTAATTTAAGTTTCCGTAGTTAAACCCTCAACCTGGCTCCATTATTTAGAAAACTGCAACAAACGGGACGGAGCACATGTGGAAATAAACCACGTGGAACCTTCAATAACGGACAGGTGAATTTCCTTGTCAATCATTGATCTGATATGTGTAACAGGGCACCAATGAATCAGAAGTTGTCACGAGAGTGCACGTGGATGTGACTTGTTACGTACAGACATCTACGCTGTTGCTTGGAACTGATCCCTGTGGCCGGGAACCGTGAGCTGATACTATGGGTAAGTTATTATATACCGAGGTATAACACATGAACGACAATAGCACTTTAAAAAAGACTCTATCTACGATCTACCTTTTGTAACATGCATAACCTTACATTTTCCAAAACTTCAAAATTGAGAGAAAGGCGTTGTTCGTATTTTCAATTCTTACTCATTATTACTAATTACACCCAAACATGCAGTGGCTACGTTCCGTAGTCGAGTGGGTAATAAAGTTAATAAAATAGATACAAATATATAGGTATTTAATACAAATCAAACAATCATGGAGTCATTGGAACTTGAAACGTTAGGTTGCGAGACGTTTGATACGTGAAAAACGGTAAATATTTGCTTCACATGTGTTTTCAAACTCATGAATTTTATTGGAGGTATGGAAAAAGTCTAGTATTAAATATAAACAGATGCCAAAACATAATATCGTCGAATCCTAATTATGTTAGTCTCTGGATCTGCTATACATGGAAGTTATTGATTAACTATTGACGGGATAGAACCAATACAGCTATTGCCCACTCAGTGACGATCGATAAATTAGACCAGCCTTTATAGCTATTGGGAAAAGACGAGAATATCTTACCATTTTCCGCTGCATGCATCGTCTATAATTGATTATACCCGTCCAAGACATCTAAGACAGAATCGATATTGTTACTAGGTTATGGGTACAGTATCCAGTATGGAAAACATAAAACCGTCTAACCGGCAAATGTTTCTCCTTTTCGTATGAAATAGTTGCATGAGGTCAATCAAAGCTCGGAACTTCAAGTGTTCTGATAAAGTAAATATCTTAATACTACATACAAAAACTTACGTTTCAACAATTGGAATGCAAAAACAATTTTCCTATCCCAGATCGTCTACGCATTGGTTCTGTTATCGTTACAAAGAATGCACTTTGCAAAGTTGGACTAAATATATTCGGAATATTGATAAGGAACATGGATGATGGTGTCCTATACCTGTATTCCTGAATCTGTATGAATTGTATTTTAGCAGTTTCTTGTAAGTCTTGAAAAGCTTAATTCCATAAGGCCCTCAAATTCTCTTGACATAATTTAGAAACATTTACATTGATTTAATAAATATCATTTCATGTTTCTGTTATCTTTCTTTCTAAATCCTTTTACAAAGAACTAAGATTGTCTCATTTCTTGTTTACAGTGTCTAAAGTGCTAACAATAGATGCTTCTCCGTGTAAATGACTCAAATGCTGTTATTTTCAATTTCGTTACAGCTTACGGAACGTCCTATACACTCAGAGGCAACTTCTGGTGTGGGCTAGCTATCGGAGTCGTCCTGGCGTTCCTAACAGTTAATATAAAGTGCCCACAGACGTCACTGACCAAATCCAGAGGTGGCAAGGGCAAAGTCCAAAACACTGCAGCGGACAGCATACGTATGGACAGAGGTTTCCTGGAAAAGGCGAAGGCGTTATCTCTTAAAATTGACGACGGACACGGGCCACGCCACCAGAACATTGACGAAGTAAAACAAATAAAATTTGAAGATTCTAACTTTCATAAAGGTACTTAGTTTAAGTGTGATTGCTAATCGAAATATGAGGAGCAAAAAACAGGTAGTACATAGATCTTCTCCAAGAATATTGGTTGTTTTCATGTTTATCTAACTCGAAATAGTTACACTTTGAAACTTAAGTAATGAAAATAAGATCAGCACGAAAACCTATCATTATTTTGGATGCTTATTTCTCCCTTAACATTTTTGTCCCTTTCTTACTCTTTATTTCGGAAGTGTCTACATAGTCACCCGTCTAATTATGACCTTGACCTTAGACGCTGAGAGCAATTAAAACCCCAAACAAAACAAAATATTCCTTAAGGGTTACAATACTTTGGGATAACCACATATTTCTCTTGGAAATACGTAGTTTTCTTTTTTCAACAGGCAAACAATTGCCATAAATCCAAATGGAAGATTCTGATGCAGGCACTCATACTAGTTATATAGTTTTGGTATGGTCTATGTGTGTTAGTATTACATATGGTGGTGTTTAAATTCGCTAAGATTATCAGATGTATATAGTGAATACCACACATACGTGTTCATCGGTCTTCTCGGACTGAACGAAGGAATTGCGCGGAAGGACATATGTCACAAGAATTTCAGCCCGAGTGAAATACAACCATTCGCGCAAAACATTAGGTATCAGTAACAATACTAAAGCATGCATGGTCTTAGTTCTAAGTGATGTTCATCTATCTTATGTCAGCCGAATTTTAAATTCTTTACGATCATATAGAACTTTTGTTAATAGTTAAGAGAGGACAAATTACCATATCACAGTCAGTACCTAAGGTATGTATATAGTAGATACTAACAACTGGTCTTGGTCGTGAACATTACTCATACGAATGCTTTTTATGTAATTCGATGCAAAATGCATCATCACAGATATTGTTGTGAACAGGTGTGATGACTAGGTAGGTACGTGCATGTCACCTATATATATTTATAAAGAATGTACTACTTATTGCAGATAACGACACAGTTGCTAGGAACCTACAGAAGAACATACGAATATTGTGTTGGGTGATGACCAGTCCCCAGAACTTGAATGTCAAGGCCGTTCATGTTAAACGCACGTGGGCCAAGCGATGTACCATCTTGGTATTTATCAGCTCCGCAACAAACACAAGTTTCCCTACCGTCGGGCTTAACGTATCAGAGGGACGGGAACATCTCACAGCCAAAACAATGCAAGCGTTTAAATACGTTTTTGACAAGCATTTCAATGACGCTGACTGGTTTGTTAAAGCAGACGACGATACCTATATGATACTGGAAAACCTTCGTTATTTCTTACAGTCATACTCACGTGATGACCCAGTCTATTTTGGACACCATTTTAAAACTATAGTGAAACAGGGGTACCACAGCGGAGGAGCGGGGTATGTCCTGAGTAAAGAGGCGCTCCGGCGCCTGATTGAAAAGGGTCACGACCCAAAAGTGTGTCGTCAAGATGGTGCCGGGGAGGATGCCGAGATCGGAAAGTGTATGGAGAATCTCGGCGTAAGAACGGGCAATTCTACAGATGCTTTAGGGAGGAGTAGATTCCACTGCTTCGACCCCGAAACACACCTATCGGGAATATATCCAGATTGGTACTTCAACTATGACGCGAATGGAGCTAGGAAGGTAAGAGATTACAATGTAACATAACCGTTTATATTTTCGTACGACCGCTTTTCCAAGCTAGAGTCTGATTTTCGACTCCCAGTATCAATGATATTTCTGTAGTAACATCCTTGTAATATAGTGAGTTCATGTTCATTATCAGTTCTTTCAAAACGTATTTTGGAGACCTGTAGTGGCTTCTATCAAAAACTGATAATAACTTTAAAAAACACATAAATACAAAGTAGTTGCAAATATACCAAACATTGTAGCAACTACAAACAAAATATTACTAAAACCTAGCCTAGCCTAAGTGGGGTTGTCAAAAACGCCACAAAGACATTCATGGAACACCTCTCATGAATGACTTCCCCACTTTTGCAACTACTTTGTTTTTATGTGTTTTTCAAAGTAATTATAAGTTTTTGATAGAAGCCACATAGTGGCTTAATCAGTAAAACAATATAATGTCACCCTTTGGGTGGCCATTTCGCTCACATTTCGTGTTTGAGTTATTCTTGTAATGAGTGGAGAGGCATAAAATAGTATGATTTCAATCGACGTTTCACTCAGTTATTGAAGTTAATATCAATATGTACCCGACCCCATGACTTAAAAATTGAATTTAAACGACATCAGTTATTACATGTAGTGCACCTTGTATTCCAAAGCTGCCAACCACTGACTTCCTATGAGCCGAAGGTTACTCCGTATCTCATAACCTATGATGGAAAAATGGCCAATTAAATTCCCCCAGAGAAAGGAGTCAACTCTTCCTCTCACTAACTGTTATATACAATATATGTTAAAGGTGCAATAATGTTACTGTTATTTTCTGTGTTACAGGGAACAGATAGTATCAGTGATTACGCGATCTCATTCCACTACGTGCCTCCCCAGAAGATGTACTTACTGGAGTTTTATATATATCACTTACGTCCATATGGGGTAGAATCTAGACACCAGCATCTCAACGTACCCGGACCCTAGTCATCATACCCGTTACCCGGTACAACTTACTAGACACTAGTCTTCATACCCGTTACCCAGTACAAGTTACTATACACTAGTCAACATACCCGTTACCCAGTACAAGTTACTATACACTAGTCATCATACCCGGTACCCGGTACAACTTACTAGACACTAGTTATCATACCCGTTACCCAGTACAAGTTCCTATACACTAGTCATCATACCCGTTACCCAGTACAAGTGACTATACACTAGTCATCATACCCGTTACCCAGTACAAGTTACTATCCACTAGTCATCATACCCGTTACCCAGTACAAGTGACTATACACTAGTCATCATACCCGTTACCCAGTACAAGTGACTATACACTAGTCATCATACCCGTTACCCAGTACAAGTTACTATCCACTAGTCAACATACCCGTTACCCAGTACAAGTTACTATACACTAGGCATCATACCCGTTACCCGGTACAACTTACTAGACACTAGTCATCATACCCGTTACCCAGTACAAGTTACTATACGCTAGTCATTATACCCGTTAGCCAAAACCCGTTAGTTTGTCAGATATACCACAGAGCACGGCGTTACCATAATCGAAACGAGAGGTAACAAGTGAATGCACCAAAATCTTGCATGCATCTGCAGTTATAAACTGCCGAATACAGCCGATGATCTTGATCTGGTAGTAACAGGATTTGGCAATAGCGTTCAATTGTTTCTCCGTGTTCAGTGAACTATCAAAGTACACCCCTAGGTTTTTAACAGCTGGAACAGTCTCAATAGTTCTGGCACCGACCTTGGGGCTGGAGAGCCAATGTTTGCTGACACTTTGGGGAAAAGACGATTTGTTCCGTCTTTTCCTGATTAAGCTTAAGCATGTTGGCGTTCATCCAGATACTGATATCTGCCAGACTTGCTTCCAGACTTTCTGAGACTGTATTCCATCTGTCCTGTGGTTTGATGACCATGTAAATTTGTGTGTCATCGGCATAGCAATGATAGCGAAGGCTATGACGACGACAAATCTCTCCGATCGGTTTGGAGTACATACAATATTTTCGTGGTCCTAACAATTCTATAGAGCGCTATATAAATGTTGTATATTATTATTATCATATTATTATATTATTATAATCAAATATCGTTTCTTTATACTTAGCAATCTTTCTGGTGCGTAAATTAGCGATTGATAACCACAATCTGTATTTAGAGTCAACTAGTTATATTCTTCACGCAAACAGCTGATCGTGTTGGTGTAGTATCTACTGATTTACGCCCTAGCTACAGTAGGATTGACTACTTACTAATGGTGTAGTTTGTGTTGTGAGCTGGGTCTGAGAATCACAGGGTTATTATACGATCAGCAAACGCTTGGCGTAGCAAATGAATAGTGTGTTTGAAATGTGTATATTTTGTAAACAAATGCAGATCATGATTGTCCAGTGTTTGATTGAAAGCTTACAATGAATCTTTATTACATATCCTTGACGCTCCTGAAGTCACCACTAAATATACATGTCCACATCCTCTCTTGGAAGAAAGATTTAAAGCTGCAATTATTGTTATCATTTTGATATCATTTTTAAAGATTGACGAAGGAAAGTTCCTTGGTTCTCTACATTGTATGTAAATAAACGGAATATCATTTGCTTTAAGCTGGATCTATCAAGTATGGGGTCGTCTATATGCTTAGTGTAGTAAATGATTGGTGTTTTATGGAAATTTATATCTTTCCGACCTCTTTTCTTACTCCCCTTTAACACAACCTATATATGACCTACGGTCTTTGCTCTTTTTTATTACTTTTTTCTGGTCTTCAATTCTTTCTTAAAAGAGCTATGGCGGAAAACTGCACATATTTCCCTAAGTCGGCATTGATGAAAACGAAAAAAATAATTAATCAGTAAATAATTTCTAGCGGCGAGAAGGCATAGAATAGATATACAACTAATTGAATATGAATTTTTGAACAGCTGAGATATTAGGTATTGTTAATATGATACTGCAAATATAGCTATATTCACTATATCTATGAAACCGTGGCCGCGAGACGCGTGAAACTGATATCGTTTTAAGTGAGTGATCTGGCGACGGAGCACATGGGTTCGTTACAAATGTCTGAAATGTTTATTTGTGCTGTGACTCATATCAGTAGGTCTGTAACATATGTGTCAGTAGGTCTATAGAATATGTGTATTTCAGACATTTGTAACGAACCCCTGTTGATCAATGCAGTGTAACAGACGATATTTCTGATAAATTGCATGAGTTTTAAAATTGTTTCCATTGGGGGCATTGGTGATTTCAACCGATGTGCATTTTGTACGATATTGCAGACCTTGGTCTTGTTTTTGTTGAAACAAAAGTATTTTTTATTTACTTTTTTCTTTTGCACATAAATTTACAATGACATGGATATTGTAGTTCCGGTCAGTGTTGTATTAATACGCTAAGAATTATGTCTCGTGCTGCATGGTACTTAAAGTCCCATCAACGACACAGCTTTCAAAGAGGCTATATATATAGTGACAATGCCATGCAAAAGTAAATATATTTGTTTGAAATGCAGGATGACTGCAGCACAAAGTAAGGATCGCAATACACGCGTAAGATATGCTATTCAAAAATGATATTTATCATTATACCATTCATAGGTGCAGGAAAAACAAAATCAAGATGTGTGTTTAGTAAGAAAGCAGGTAGCGGCATGAGGCAGGCAGTAATAATGAAAATTAAATCCTTTCAAAAGTTGTTGGTAACGATTGTACGAGTGTTACATACTGCATATTATTTGATTTAAATTTATAGAAATTCTGCGAAATAAGCATTTTGTTGAGTCTTTATCATGAAACGCATGCATCAATAGCCATGGCCTTGAATTCGGCTGTTTACATTAATCTATTATTAGATACAGGACGCGTCATAACAGTACACGGTTGCACGCACGCACTAGCGGTCTCGCCTTTGGGGAAATAGACATAGCAACCCGCCATAACTCTTTCTAACCAACATTCCGCGTATTATGATAAGGCAATCAGAACTTGATAATTGCCATTATATGACTCATAAAACTGTTTGAAATTTGTTTGTTTTAATTTTGCCATTCCAATACAAAACAGTTCATCAATATTCCATCCGAGTAAGCAATCTCTACTCCTACCGAAAGGTGTGACATACATTCCTGATTGTCTTCTTCTTCTCTCGTTATCCAATCCTCCTTCAATCATTGGAAGATAACGGTCTTGGTCTCTATCGTGCTCAGATTGGTGTATCGTACCGTTTTATCACATCGCGTGCCGTGGATATTTTTAATTGAATGATTCACTTTGTATTGAGACGGTTGGCGTTATAATCTATGTTAATGTATGTGATATATGCAATTGTGTTGTGCAGGTTAAAAGTCGTGTCCCGGTCGAGGCGCAGAGTGTTGGCACTTTCTCTCTCGTGATGTTGTGTATTCTCGCCTTTACTAAAATATCTTTACCACTCTCTGATGTTATTGAAGGTAATCCTGGTCCACGTTATGATCCCGATTCGTTTTCCTAATGTTTATGCTTACATAATTATAATGAAGAGATAAATCACAAGAAATTTACATTCCTGCATCTGAATTTTTAAAGTTTTAAACATTATAAGATGATTACTTTTTAAGTGAAATATTTGATATTAGCATATTATCACACACAGAAACCTAGCACAGGGCAAGCGATTATATCAACGAGTTTAACTGTCTGACTTTTCTGAGCACCTTTTCCAATTTTAGCAATATTTTGGCTATACGTCAAACTGGTCTAGAGGTTCCCGCAATCGAATGTGTTTGTCTACAGTTATTTAAAGAAAATAGAAACATACTTTATAGGCCATTTTATAAGCCTCTGATTTCCCCTGTATCTCCATTGGATCATATCTATCATTCAACGCTGATCTACTGAGTCAAAAGCATATACGTTACTACGTATGTCATTACAAACTTTAACTTATCCCAGTTAGTAAACGAACCAACGTTTTTTACAGAAACAACGTCGTCTCTTTGAGATACAGTAGGTACCTATAGTAGGTTCTGCTATGTAGGTGTATACGACTCGGTCATGTCCAGGGATGTAGAATAGGAAAGTTCTACCAGAGGGATTTTCAAATTTGAAAATCCCGAGGGTGGAATTTCCCTATCCTACACCCTTGGGCATGAAAGAGTAATTTTCTCTCATTCCAACTACCAGAATAAGCTCAGAAACCATGAAAATGCGTGTGGACTGGCTACCATTTTGAAAATATCATTTTTTCCGCTGAACTCTTCAGCGAGATTAAGCATACCCCATATGTGCAAACTAAAAGCTTTCTTGACCAGCCATCAAGGTATCATTGTCATGTTTATACATCATTCAATATCGAGTAACCAAAAACGGTTCGAGCATTAGGAGAGTTTTAGTGCTAACACTGCATCACTTCTTACACATTACCAGTGTAGTGTATTATTTAGAGTACTTATTATTTATTGTCCATAATGATACGCAGATTTCATGTGTCATTGTGAAACGAAATGTATCCCTTATCTTATTGCATTAGTTTTGTTTATAAAACGTACATTGTATTCACATCTACTGGTTCTTGTCTCCCTCAATCTATCCTCTTTCTGTCTATCTTACATTCTCTTATAACTGTTCTTCTTTTCCATTTTCTAAATCTGGTCAATAATTTTTTGTCGAAAATGCAAAGACCGATATCGGAAGGGGGTTAAAAAAATTCCAGGCAGAGGTGTTGGAGGTCGCAGTTACAAAAACATGATTTCTACAGATTCCTTTAGGAGGGTCTTCAGTCCCAGATTCTCCTCTGGTCCCGACAATGATGTGTAGATCGCTGATTTAATTCCTTGACAGTGGCGGCGATAGGTAAGTATCCTTCGTCTATACCCAATATTAATAACCACTACTAAGTAAGGGAAACAATAGCAGTGACTGTTATGTAAACTTTACAATGTACCGATACCAGCCTTTACCCTAAAAACACAT